ATTAAGATAGAAGAGGTTAAAGTAAAATACTGAAGCTTTGGGTAACTTTAAGAATTTGCTTAAGAACTATTCCTAAAACAACTTGCAATCAATAAACCTGTTTCTCTTTAAAAGTTCAGTACTGAATGGACCTCAGCCTTTCATAGGAAACATAGGTTGATAAAGAGATCAATTGGTGGCAGCGTGTTAAAGGGCGTGTTGGGATACTCGAGTGAGTTCTTTGTTTGGTGAAACAAGCAGGGGCCATGGGGTAAAGGCCACACTAAGTCTTACTAAATTGAACCTGCCAATAGGGCAGGCACCAGCAGTTGCTTCTTACCATCACTTAGAAAAAAAATGGGCAGACATTAGTGGTAACATCAGACTTGAGCTACCATGAAATGGGCTCCCATCACCACTATGGTCCTTAATCATTTCTGAACTGAAAATATTCAGTCACATGCATTTTTATTGTGCAGTTTTTAAACGGAATAAGCAAACAATTGAGAGGAGCACTCGGGAGCCATGCAACCACTGGCATGGAGGTTTTATTATTGTCCTATATATCAGTGGTCCCCAACCTTGGGCCTCCAGATGTTCTTGGACTTCAACTCCCAGAAATCCTGGCCAGCAGAGGTGGTGGTGAAGGCTTCTGGGAGTTGTCATCCAAGAAGATCTGGAGGCCCAAGGTTGGGTACCGCTGCTATAGAGCCTGCCAGCCTTTGGAGCATCTCTAACACAACCCTTACAGAAACATGCACTGGAATAGCCTGATACGTAAAAGACAAAAGCAGTGATTACTTTTTAGGAAGGTGTAGATGAACTTTCTGCCCCTCCTCTCACTGTATACTCCTAAAATTTACCTTTGCGAAAAATAATGTCTGTAAATTTTCCAAGAGTGTTTGGACCATTCTCCATCATGACTTTGAAGCTGCTCTTTTCGATAACCTTTTGAATCTCTTCTTCATTCAGAGAATACCCAAGGAAGGCAGCTATTTTTTTCAGTCCTAAATTTGGATTCTGTATTTAAAAAAAGAGTAAAAGATAGCAAATTGTATGTCTTAGCATAATAACTCATGTTAGACAGTACCGTCTCCCATTAAACAAACTTCACACTGAAGCTGCAAATTGATGTGTTAAGAAAGGAAATATTACACCAGTTCATCTGAAATCGGTCCAGAATCCTTTGCTCTCATTGCAAAAATGAAATTCATATATTATTCTAATACATTTACCATTTCTGCAATGGTTTCGAGAGAAACTTTAGTTGACCCTCACATCTAGGAGCCAGTGTTAAGCTCACCTCCTTTAGCTCTTCATAAATTAGGGCTGTGACATTTTCATCATCAATATACTTGTCCCATTCTTTGATGTAGTCAAAGTAGGATCCCCAACTCACTGAAGAAAAAGAATTACGTTGCACAACATTTCAATTCTAATGCTTGACTATTTCAAGTTACTTGAAATATCCCCAAATGTATTCCATTTAATAAATGTCAATCAGTCAGTAAATCAATTGCTTACTGAGCCACATAACCATGGATTACTCTTTACTGACAAGAGAAAAAAATTAAAAAACATTAATCAATCCTCAGTATTCACAGCTTGCTGCAAATGTCTGAAACCTTTGCTTCAATACACAGCAATTTACATTTACTGGGCTAATCTATCAAACATTATTTTCAATATAACATATTTTTCCATTTATAACACTAACACACACACACACACACACACACACACACACACACACACACACACACACACACACACCACATTTATAAGAAGCCCCCCCTTACTTTTCTAACCCCCAAATTAAGATAACTTAGCTTTGAAGATTCATCCTCTGAATAGTCAGACATTTTGAGTCCCTGTTGAATCTGAGCCTACAGGCTCCACCTCCAAGGAGGTGTGTTCCAATTGGTTTGTTCAGGATCAGCTGACGTCAGTTCCATAAGGCCCATGATTGGAGGAAGCTAAGTCTCCTGATTGTAGGAAGTTACAATTCATGACTGAAGGAAGCGTGTTTACAGAGGCAAGGTATGTGCTGTTATGTTCTCTCCTCAGCTATCTCAGCTTACTTCCATGTATAAAATGCACCTCAATTTTTAGTGCAATGGTTTCAGGGAAAAATAGCATCTTATACATGGAAAATACAGTATGCATCTTTTCCCAAGACAAATAAAAGGATTACATAATAGTACAAATCAGCATCGACTGAATTATGAAGCAAACTTTGAACCAAACCAAATGAAGCACTTAACTTATTTTTTGTTCAGGGTTTCATTTTCCTTCAGCAGAACGGATGCCCTCTGCCCTCTTCCTGCTGCCTCCATTGCCTCCCTACCTGGTATGGTCACTGCCTCCTCTTCCTCCTCTTCCACCATCTTCAAAGACAGTGGCCCAACTTCATTTCCAGGATTTTCATTTCATTTAGTCTCTAGGCACGTACCCACTTACCAGCTGATAGGCCAGCGAATTTGCAGAGACAGTGACCTGACTTCCCCTCTGGGGCTAAATGTACTATTTTATTGTGCAGTTTTTAAACATGAATAAAAAGAAAAACTGGAAGGAGGACTTGGGTGCCATGCCATCACAGGTATGAATATTTTACTCTTGTCATATAGAGCCTGCCTGCCTTTTTTATTTTTTTACATATGTGAGATTAGTGTCAGTTCATCTTACCATCCTAATATTGATATACAGTGGTGCCCCGCATAATGAGCACTTCGTTTAACGACGAATCCGCATAGTGATGTGTTTTTTGTGATCGCAAAAGCATTCGCATTGCGATGTTTTAGATGGGAAAACATAGCTTTGCGATGATGGGTAAGCACTTCGCTTACCGATTATCGAATAAGGATGTTTTTAAACAGCTGATCAGCGGTTCCAAAATGGTCACCGGGTAAAGAAAATGGCCACCTGCAGTGTTTTCGTGCCCTTTCCTTGCTTACCGGGCAGCGAAAATGGCAGCCGCATGGAGGATTTTCCCAGAACGGTGAGTTTTTTGCCCATAGGAATGCATTAAAAGTGTTTTAATGTGTTCTGATGGGCTTTTTTGCCCTGCATAGCGACGAATCCGTATAGCGACGATTTTTTCAGAACAGATTATCATCGCTATGCGGGGCACCACTGTACTAGTTTAGCACTAGCTCACCTCTAGATGAAAAAATGTTTTAAAATATATATGAACAAAACAAAACAACCCAGATGAAATAAAAGATGTCCCTGTGATACTTCTGTAAATGTCAAGAAGACCTTTGGAATGCTGCCATTTTTCTGGAACACTGTACAACCCTTTCAAAAATGAGCAGCTTGACAGCGAGCCATAAAAGAATCACCAGAGGCAGGACCAGAAGAAGGGAAACTGTTGGCTGAAATGGGAATCACATTGCATCATGTGTGAGCACTGAACTCCAGTATCAATCTACAGCCTTGTGTGATTACTGACTGCTAATTCAACCGCAATATAGGCTGCAAACTAAATTGCAGCCAGTGTAGTTGCAGCCTGAGACATCTGAGTGTGACTATGGTCACCCACCCCCAATAGGTTTCCATGATTAAGCAAGGATTTAAACTCATATCTCCTAAATCCTAGTCTAATACTATATCCCCTAAACCATATTGGCCCTCCATAGTAAAGTACTGTGGCATCTGTTATATTTTAGATTTTAGTGCTTTCTTAGATCCAAAGATTAAAATGTTTTCAATCCAGTTCTTTTTCCAGTTCAGTTCTGAATCTTTTCTAAACAGTTCTAGAAAAAATAAACTAATCTGCAAATATTAAAGCAAGCCATGCACTATCCTTTTCTTAATACAGTGGTGCCTCGCGTAACAAGTGCACCGTTTAACAACGAATCCGCATAGCGATGCGGATTTTGCGATCAAAAACCGATCTCATTGCGATGTTTTAATAGGGAAAACATCGCATTGCATTGATCGGTAAGCATTTCGCTTACCGATCTTCGCATTGCGATGTTTTCCAACAGCTGATCGGCGGTTCCAAAATGGCCACTGGAAGAAGAATGCCCGCAGCATTTTCACACCGATTCCTCGCTTACTAAGGTGGCAAAAATGGCGGCCAGATTGAGGATTTCCGCTTAGCGGTGAGTTCTGTCCCCATAGGAACACATTAAATGGAGTTTTATGGGGTTTTTTGCCCCGTATAGCGACATTTCCGGATAGCAACGATTTATCCGGAACAGATTATTGTCACTATGTGGGGCACCACTGTACAGTTGCCTGTATAATATATCTTGCTGCTGTTGAATTCAATCCTTACAGAAGCAGGGTAAACAGAAACGAGTGCATAGAAAAGCTGATAGAGGATTAGAATCCCAAAGACGAGTGCTTGATAGAAATCATGTTGCTGAATTATCAACCAACTGAAGTTTTTGAATCATAATCAAGATAATCCTCATGTAAAGTGAATTGCACTGTACATTATCACAACACTCCTGACAATGGCTAAATTCTGCCCTTCTGTGAAAGAATGTAGCTGGCTTATCAGGGAAAAAAAAACACTTGGCTACTGCAGCCAAGCAGACATCAAAATGTACTTATGGATTCTACAGGATTCTGACTAATCTCTGAAAATCTGTTGGCCTTATTCTGTTTGGAATTGTTCCATGACACAAGGATACCTTTCCCATTCATAAAATCGGTGAAAAATGAATCCCATGTTAATGTGGGAAAAATTGACATCTTGTTGATAAAATGAAAAAAAGACACCAGTGTATCTTTTGGGTTTCGAATCAGCACCAGTACCTGAAAGACAAAGAAAGAAAAGTTTGGTTTTCTTTAACAATGCAATTTATTAATAACTAAAGCCTGAGTAACTAACAGAGAAGAGTTCTCAATTAATACTCCCATTTCCTTAATCATGCATGTTCCTCAAACCCTAGTAAATGGTATTATATCATGTGAAACTTGAAGATCCATTTCAATTGTTTTCCAGATCAGCCACTCTAAGAACATATTTACATGCCTGTATGACTATTAGAATACCCCGTTGCTGTACAGGAGAATGTGTCACCTTCATTCAGGTGGGAATAGGAAACATCATTAGAGATGGGGACAAATTAAAAAAATGGCAATTCATTTTGATCCGTTATTCGTCAAGGTTAACAGATCAACGCATACGAATATACAAATATTCTTTGATGAATCGATCCTTCGATTTGTCTGCATTTTAAATGGCTATAACGCTGGCCCCTAATGACCTTGAGACACCAAATTTGCAGGAAGGCTTCCTCAGACAATTTTCTACAATTCCTGAAAGGTTGGTTAACATTGGATAATGGACCTCCAGGTTATATAGTCACAAAGAGGACACCCCCCCCCCAGGAAAGCTTCCCCCAAGTACCGAGAGATTCCAGAATCACAACAGAACTTCCTATGTCTTTCACAACATGGCTTCCAATTTTTTTGAAGATTGGATATCAGAACTCTGAGTTATTCACCCCCAAATTGGGTCCCCTCAGGAGAGTGTACCACACGGCTCAGAAGCCCATGGCATTGAGGGAGTTATATTTAGCCCCAGCAGAATGAAACACACAACAAATTTGGGGAAAGGAAAAAATGATTCTCCTAAAATAAACTTTTGAAAACTGAATATAAAGAAAAAGATTCTACAGTCACATGACAACAGTTTCCCCACCCCCACCAGACAATACACACACACACACACACAAAAGACTCCACAAAAGCCCTTCTGAAGAAGTAGCCTATCTGAAATCCCTCCCCAAATTCCCAGTAAAGTTGATGATGATTGATGATGAAAAAGAAAAATATAAGTCTTTGCTGCCACAAAAGCAAAACCGCAAGAGCACCAACAAGCCAGCGAGTAGCAACTGTTCTCACTCCAGACAGCATGAAGAGAAGTGGGGAATACCCGGAGGGGAAAAGCTTATATGAAACGTCTGTAAAAGTAGATACACCTTTCAGAAGCACTAGTGGCTGCCGGACATGCCAATCCAGGATCTCTGTCCTGATTGGCCAGAGCTTCAAATTGGCGTGAGCAAGCTCGGGAGGCCCCTAAAAGGGGCAATGAATATAGAGTATGAATGGATCGATGAATAAAACCAAGGAAATATTCGTCAAGCCATATTCATCATGATTTAAAATTTTATAAATACAGATCGATCAATATATGATGAATCAATCGGCTATATTTTTCAGAAAAACTGATCCATTTTTATATTCATCCCCATCTCTAAACATCATCATAAAATCACAGAAAACTAGAACTGGAAGGAACCTCGTCATGAAGTCCAATGCTGGACTGAAGCAGGAAATCCACAGCTAAATATCTCTGCTGGATAGAATTCCAATCTCTGTTATAAGACTTCCAATGAAGAACAGTCCGAAAACATCTGAGGTGGTCCATTCTATTCTAACGAAGTTCTTCCATATTTGAAGAAATGTCCTTTAGTTGGTATTGGAATTAATATACTGATGAATGGATTAATCCCAACCTTCTAGTCTCTCACAGACAATCCCAGAGATGGCCAAATTAGTCAGCTGCTCTGCCACATATTATTGAGTCCCAAACTAAAGTATCCTGGAGCAAAGTATATAAGATTTGTGGACTTACTTTGGCTTTGTTTTTGAAAATAGATTTGGGCAGTGTATCAGGAGTCAGATGTGTTACAATGATCCTTCTGGAAGGTAGTTTTTCCATCATCTTCAATTTAAAAGAAAGTGACAAAATTATTGTCAGATGAAATGAAATCCTGTCACTGGGTACCCACCTGCATGTAGGTATGAGTGGGTGGGTGGAGGTGCTGCTTTTTTGGGAGGGGGGGTACCTGACAGGACCCTGCACCCCTCCGTGCTAAAATTAAATTGACACCAGAAAACCCTTCCTCCCATTCTTTGAAAAAATCCTCAGTGGGTGTCAAGGGGGAGCATCTTCAGGGCTTAAGTACAGTCTTGGAGGCATCATAGGAACTTGTGAGCCATGCTTTGTCCCTCTCCATCAATTTAATTGCTAACCTGTCCAATTGCAAAAAGTTTCCTCCCATTCTTTGGGGGAAAAAATCCTTAGTGGGTGTCAAGGGGGAGCATCGTCAGGGCTTAAGTACAATCTTGGAGGCATCATGGGAACCTGTGAGCCATGCTTTGTTCCTCTCCATCAATGTAATTGCTAACCTGTCCAGCTGCAAAAGGGCATAAACATAAAAAGGATGCATACAATTTTCTTACAAAATTGCCCTTTTTGTTCAGAACATAATGCAGTGGTGTATTTGACTACAGGCATGCCAGGCATTTTACTGGCTGATTTCTGGTTGTGTCCCCCCCCCCCCCCGCAACCG